CAAAGTATAAAGCATCATTATACATAACATTGAGTTTGATTTCCATTCTTTCCTTTCCTCCCTAGCATAGCCCTTTCATGATCTGCCTCTCCCTTATTTGCAATATCTAGTATATGTATGAGTCAAGCAGAAAAGGTCAGATAATGTGATGTCAGGAAAAGGAACCCTTAGATGTGTATTTAAATGTTTTTTCTTTTATGCATTTGTTTCTAACGCATTTATAAGATTATTTCTTTGTTGATTTGTATGTCCCTCCCCCACAGTATAACCCCTGCTTTCACTATATTTGATGTCAGTATAACTTGTGGAGGAGATGGGGAAAAACAAGTCGTTTAAGGATACAGGTGGGCCTGTTGCAACAATGAGAAGTACAAGTTGTCATGTGGAAAACGAACTTTACAACTTTGGTTGCGGGGGGGGGGGGGGGTTGGGGGGGGGGGTTGGGAAGGGATGTGAAGGGTAAACAAAGGAGGAGGCTGCAATGCTTGATAAGAAATGTACTCATTATCTTGCCCATGTAATTGTAACCTCTCTGTACAGTATGTTCACAATAAAAAAAGAACTTCCAACCTTTTGATGAGTGTTTAGCCAATGTTTGAGATGCTCTCAGTGTATCTTTCCCATTGCTCTGATACAAAACTTCATGTCAATGGTGCTAATCTATCAAACAGATCTCAAATTGTCATCCTTCTTATCTCTATTGATCAAAGAAGTTGGGCTTGCAGTTATATCACTGCACCAACATAAACCCAATGTTTTTAAAATGTCAAAGTAAGAAACATAATTATATATAACATTGAGTTTTGATTTCCATTTTTTTCCTTTCCCCCCAGCATAGACTTTTCATGATCTGCCTCTAGGGACATTCCAGAAAACTATTTCCATCTTCAGGTTGACCACAAGACTCAGAAGCTAAGCCTTTTCTCTTCCCAAAAAGGTCTTTAATTATGGTCTATTAAATATTATTATTTCCTCCTTCTGTTCTGATATCATAGTATCTCTTTTTAATAATTCAGACAAATTAATGTGAGTGATATAAACAAGTTGTGCCACCGGAAAAAATAAAAAAATTCAGCTGTCTTGACCAGTTTTTGACCAGTCTTTGCTTACTGAGGACCACTATGTGATCCTAATGTTGCAAACTCCACTTCAAATGCAAATCAAGGCAACTGCTACAATTGTTTCATAAGGAAAAAGATACAGCCTATAATGGAAGGATGTAGTGTTGAAAACAAAGATGTGTGTGTTCCCAGCTAAGTGATTACCTTTGTCAGCACCAAGACACAGTGAGAGGTGGAATGGTTTCTGTGACACAGAGCATGAGGCGGGATTGTAAGACTTGAGACAGAGACATCAGCCCATCAGTAGAATCTTCAGTAGCACTCAGAAGCCCATCCTCTTTACCAAAATCACGTCTTAGAAGTGGCATAAGGGACACACATCCTGGTCGAACAACTACACAATGGCCATTCAATATTCAGAATTCATGGAGAACTTCAAGGTTTTTTTCTGGAGCTGCTGTAAAATGTGTGAGGACAGGACTCACATGAATTCCCTATGGAATCAGGCCTTGAGACATATGGAATAGGACCAACTTTGTGAATATTGTAGGAAAGATTCACAGTCTAGACACTGGTTTGCCAGACTCAAAATCCTGAATATTGCACTGTCACAAGTCAGCCACGAGAGGGCAGGTCAATCTCACAATCAGCAAAGTCCCAGAGTCCAGATCTTGAAAGATGGTGGAGAGCAGGAGTAATGCTTGCCTGAGGCTGGCAAGTTCGCTGCACAGCTATCATGGTGAACATGTTCCTAAAATACTACTCACACTGCCATGGTTCTCCATGTGTGGGTTTCTGAATATTTTCTACTTTAATTGGTCTTTAATAAGCACACGCTGACAATAGCGCTCCTTTTCACCAGGATTCTGGGAATGGAGTAAGAATTCCAGTTCAATGGTAGAACAATGTGTAAGGACAAGTGCGGCCCTCTGGGGTATTATAAGCCATGTGCACACAGTCAGCATGAACTGGCCTTTTGGAGTCTCAGTAGGACAGAACACACTGAAGTCCCCACCTTTGAAGAGGTTCAGGAAAGAGATATTTGAGTATATGTGGAAGAAACTGGAAATGGAAAGACTTTGAAATTTTAGTGCTATCCCAGAACCTGATTTTCAGAATCCTCAGCAAAGAGCAAGACACACAATAGATGTAAATTATGCAACCTGATCAACACGTCCTCTCCTCCTGATGTGTCTAAGCAGAAGACATGCTGGCTGAGAGGAGATTCTGCAAGAGGGCCATTTGCAAATTTTCCTTATGATTGGTGAGAACAGCAGGGAAGTCAGACAGTCCCACAGAGCAGGCAAATCTCTGAGCTCCTGATGACTTAGTCTCTCAACCTGGTCATGCCCTTTCAGCTGGGTTCAATTCCAGGGAGTGGTGAGCATTTTCCTTCACTGAATCAAGGCCACCATAGGGGAGGACTTTTGTAACCCCAGATTCTCAGCTCCATCACTCTGGAGGGTGACTGCTTCTTCTATAGCCCAGAGCAAGAATGACAGAGGTTCCTGATCCAAATCTCCACTTTCTTCCAGTACCTGAAAGTTTAGCTCAACCTTCACATCTCCACACTCCCTAAAGCCACATGAACAATTATAACAATTTCATAGTTACATTTTGGTCCTGACTTGTTCCAACCTCACCACAGTAAGTTGTCCATGGCATCTGCCTTCTTCCCGCTACTTAGATGCTTGTGATGCACCACTAAGACTCTCAGAATTCCAAGACTCTGGGGTGTGCATGGTGAAGGCAAAGATGGTTCCTCTTGCTGTGAAACTGGACTGAGATGTCCAAGGAAAGGCATGACATTGATCAAATTTCTATTTATATTTTATCCAGATCCAACATGTTTCTTCAGAGACATTTTTACCATGACACTGTTATTTTATGTTGTTAGTTTTCCAGAAGTCACAGGCTCAGGGTGATCAGAGCTGGACTTGTTTAAAAAAATCTTTTGTTTATTGTAATGGTGATGAACCAGGGCATTACAGTTACATAAGTAAGATAATGATTACATTTCTTTTTAAACTCTTACCCTCTCCCTCATTTTCTCCCACCTATCCATCCCCACTATTCCCCACAAGTTGTAAATTTCATTTCCAAAATAGTGCCCAGTGAATATCATTGTTGCTTTAGTTCATTTTTGTCCTCTGAAGTCGTATATGCAGTTATTTATATTTTTTCCTCTGTTCTACATTATGTACACTTTGTCTTCTTTATGAGTTTATCTGATCCTTGAGAAGGGACATTCTCTGTCTCTGTCTCTCTCTTTCTCTTCCTCTGTCTCTGTCTCTCTATTTCTCTCTGTGTCTGTCTCTCTGTGTCTCTCTCTGTCTCTCTTTGTCTCTCTCCTCTCTCTGTCTCTCTTACCACCCCCCTCTCCTAGAGATATGAACTTTATCCTAGAGATGCAAGCATCAATACTGGTATCTGAGCAGGCATGGTGTTTCCACTCAGTGGGAGAGGATAATTACAGAGGCATGTATGGTTGGGTAGCAGTGATTTTCACTGAAATAATCATGCCCAGCATAAACACAACACTTCATGCTGACGAACTGTGAGAGGTAATGTCAAATGGCACAAAGGTGACAAAATATGAAAAGTCTTAGATTAAGATAAAATACTGTCTATTTAGTACTGAGGATAGAAGACAACTAAAGTTTCAATGGTGGCATATTTGTGAGTCATTATTGAGAAATCAGAGTAAAAGTGTATCTTCAAAAATTGCTTCAACTTATAATGTCATAGCCGTTACTAAAGCTACCACAAAATGTTTTTCAATACATTCAGTATGTCTCATACTATCTCTTTAGTTAAAGAACTTAGGCCACTGAGCACCATGTCTCATGCTTGAAATCCTAGTTACTCAATAGGCTGAGTTGCAAGGATTGCAATTGGAAGACAGCCCAGGCAGGAAAGTCCATGAGACATTTACTTCCAATTAACCATCCAAAATCTGCAAGTGGAGCTGTGGCTAAAGTGGTTTATGAAAGAGCTAGATATGAGCCCAAAATCTAAGGGATGGAACCTAGTCCTGAGTTCATATCCCAGGAAGAGTATACATACAGAGAGAGAGACAAGAAAAGAAATAAACCATTTTTTGCAGGTGCCAATGGCTAATACCTATCAACCTACCTATTCTTGAGCACAAGATATGAGAATGATTGCTCAAATCATCCTGCATAAGAAAGTCCTTGAGATTCTTATATCCAATTAACAACTAAAAATACGAAATGGAAGTGTGCCTCGTGTGGTAGAACATTAACCTTAAAGTATACAGCTAAATTACAGCACCAAGACCCTGAGTTCAATACCCATGGATGAAAATCTAAACTGGAAGGAAGGAAGGAAGAAAGGAAGGGAAGCAGGGAGGGAGGGAGGGAGGGAAGGAAGGAAAAAGGGAGGGAGGAAGGGAAGAAGGGAGGAAGGGAAGAAGGGAGGAAGGGAGGGAGGAAGGAAGGGAGGAAGGGAAGAAGAGAAGAAGGGAATTAGGGAGGAAGGGAGGAAGGAAGGGAGGGAGGAGGGAAGGAGGAAGGAAGGAAAGAAGGAAGGGAGGGAGGGAGGGAGAAAGGGAGAGAGGGAGGGAAGGAGGGATGGAGGGAGGAAGAAGAGAAGAGAACAGAAGAGAAGAGAAGAGAAGGAAGAACATGGAAAAGAAAGAAAAGAATTGTCAATGTATAATTACTTCATACGGAGAACACAATGTGGGTTTTTTTCAAGGCAGAATTATTGAGAGTGAATAAAAGATCTAAGTAGAAACAAGAATACGTTTCAATATAATTATAAAATGCCTGGTTATTTCAGTTGTTTCTGTATATTATGTTTTGAAAATAAAATAAAAATGTCTTCTACAGTCAAATGTTCTCTGAGGACAAACACGTTCTCTGCAGGCAAATTTATGTTTCTCTTGTTTGGTCTGGGACACCTGTAGATTCAAGACCTGTGGTGACTCATTCAGTTGAGCGAATCCTGCAGCTGTGCCCAGCCCTGCCCACAACCAGCGGATTTCCATGTGCTCAGAGCACAGCCCACTGCCCTGAGCACTTCTTCATAGGCTGCTCACACCCTGTGCAGTTGTCAGTCCCAGTCAACACACAGCATGGACATGAGGACCCCTGCTCAGCTCCTGGGGCTCCTGCTGCTCTGCCTCCCAGGTAAGGAAGGACAATGCTGGGGATTAACTCAGACTAGTATAGTTGAGGCTACTTCAGGGAAGCCTCTTGTACCATGATTATCACGGTGGATATTTGTTTTTATGTTTCTACTGCCAGGTGCCAGATGTGACATCCAGATGACCCAGACTCCATCCTCCCTGTCTGCATCTCCAGGAGACAGAGTCACCATCAATTGCAGGGCCAGTCAGGGCATTAACAAGTATTTAGCCTGGTTTCAGCAGAAACCAGGGAAAGCTCCTAAGCAACTGATCTATTACACATCCAGTTTGATCTCTGGGGTCCCATCCAGGTTCAGTGGCAGTGGATCTGGGACAGATTACTCTCTCACCATCAGCAGTCTACAGACTGAAGATGTTGCCACATATTACTGTCTGCAGTATGATAAAATTCCTCACACAGTGATATAAGTCATAACATAAACCTCCCAGGGAAGCAGAAGTGAGAGGCTGGGCTGCCTCCACCTGCTGACACAGCTTCTCAGACTCTTTTCTGAGGGTCACTGCAATATTTGGTGATTGGACAGCATTCTCTCTATGCTGGCTGTTTGCAGCAGTGCAAACATGGCATTGCTTCTGCTGATTCAATCGAGCACATAAATCACAGCATGGGAGGAGTCTGTGAGAGCAAAAATTGAGGTTCATTTGTAAAGTAGGAAGATGCTAGCCAATCCAAGTTGGTTATATCTAATACAAGAAATTTATTCTAAGCTACTGCCATTCAAAGATTGGGTTACATTACTGAGTAAAGCTAAATACAGAAATGGAGTATTCTCTGCTGTTCCTTCAGACCCAGATCATCTACCTGTGAAACTGGAAGCCTCCTCACCTAGGTCCTTGCCTTGCCCAGTCTAGAAGCACAGGGGTGGGTAACAATGCTCTCAACTGCTTGTAGATCCAGACAGGTGACTTCAATCCTCCCCTCCACCCCAGTGTCTACCTGCAGGTTTCAGTGCATCATAAGGCAAACTCCAACTTTCCATCTTCGTGAGGACTCCTCAAGCAGAAACTCTCCAGGAAATACTGGTGAAAATGGCTTCTAGAAGTAAATGATGACAGAAGCTGCACATGCACAGAAAACCAATGATTACAACAAGCTAATGCCCACTCCACTGTTTTGTTAGAAATCACCTTGTTGTGCACTTCTAGGTCCTTTTCTTGATCTGTTTTTGTGTGTGTGCTCATCAGGGCCTAGGTGCTGTCCTGAGCTTTTTGTATTCAAGGCTAGCACTGTACCACTCCAGCCACAGCTTCACTTTTTTGGGAGGGGGGTGGGGGTGCTTAATTGTATATAGAGTCTCATAGACTTTCCTACTCAGGCTGACATCAAATATCAGTCCTCAGATCTCAGCCTCCTGAATAGCTAGGATTAGAGGAGTCAGCCATTTGGTCCCTAGCTCCTGACTTTTTATTTTCATTATTAAGGAGTTGTACACAAAAGTTATAACTCCATGAGTAAGAACATTTGTATTTCCTCACTTTTTATGCTGTCACTTGACTATTTTATGTTTGCACCTATTTCCAGTACACTGATTGAACTATGGTAGCTTTAATGCAAAGAAGGAAAAGAAAGTCAGAAGACGTAATGCCAGATTTCTGAACTTAAAGATATTCTGGGATATCCTGAGTTTGTTGAATTGCCATGGAAATTATACTTTAAATATTCCTTTGGAGATTTTTACTTTTGCATTGTGTTAATTCTATATTTTAAATTACAGAAAAATAAAAATGATGTTGTATTCCATTTATGAATATGGAAATATTTTCAAGTAGCTATGTCTCCCTCAATCTAACCGGGGTAGTTCTCTAATCACTGTGTTTCCATAGACTTTACACAGTTTTTATTATTTCCATTAATTTATTTTTATACTCCATATTAGCAAATAAAGATACTTTGCTACTTTATATCTCAATTTAATGTCTTCTTTTATTTCTTGCTTTATAGAATTTTGAGGAAGACATCCTGTATAATTTGTATGTAAAGGAGTGATAGTAAGCATTTCAGCATTTAATAGAATCTGATGGGGAAAATATCCAACTATTTCAATACTATGTATGATATGTGTCATAAATTTTTATATATGCTTTAAACCACTACGGTGTTTTTCCATTATTTCTCTCCTACTTAGACATGAAAGGTTTTTGAATGATCATGAATAGTTGTAGAATTTTAAAATATTTTTAACTACTATACAACTATTATCTTGTTCCTAATCTTGAAGAATGGTAAATTAAATGGACCAACAGTTATTTTTAAATCATCTAATTTTACAGTGGCTTTCCATTTGTGTAATATATTTAACTTGCTCAAAATGAAGACATTGAGAGAAGGAAGAGGCAGAAAATGAAGAGAAGGAAGAGAACAAAATGAAATTCTCCCTTTTATAAGATAATTTTTGACAATGTGAGGAGGAGAAAAAAGCTGAAGCATCTGGGTATGCATGGTCAAAGTCAGAGGAGATTGTTGTGAACTGTCCTGAAATGAGATTGGAAGACATGTGAGACAGTGAAAACACAGGAGTGAAATCTGCCATAGCCATAGATGAAGAGACTTGAAACTCATACAAATACACTGTGAAGTGGAACAATTTGGTGATACTTGGGTTGGCACTAAGGCATAAACAGCCCAGCCCAGCCCTGAGTAGCAGCCAACAAAAGCAGAGGCAGCAGTTGGGGGTGGCAGCAGTGATGAAAGGCCCCAGATGTGCAGCACACTGCCTCTCCACATCAGTCTGTGGGAACAGGCCAGCCCAGCCTGGAGAAGAGGGCACAGCAGTGGCAGCAGCAAACAACCCCAGGCTCCCTGCGTGACACACCATCTTTCTGCACCAGCCCTCCTAAGCATTGGGCTTAGCCCTGGGCCACCCCAGATTTACTGCAGAGCACAGTGCCTCCCTACACCACCCTGCACAAGTGGCCCAGCCCAGCCTGGAGTGGCAGTGTCAGCCAAGGCAGGGCAGCTGCAGAAGCAGAAGCAGCAGCAAGCACCCTAGACTGCTGACCCTAAATCTTTCTCCCCTGACCTGCAGAAGCAGCCCAACCAAATTTGAGACTGCAGTGACTGTGTTGGTAGTAGCAAATGACCCCAGACTTGCAGTGTGGCACATGCCTTTCTGCACCAGCCCTTGTAACCACCTGGGCCCAGCCCAGGGTGACCTCAGACTCCCTTCACAGGCCTGCATAAGCGGTCCCACTCTGCCTGGGGTTACGGGGCAGCTGAAACTACTACAGGACAGAGTAGGAGAAACACTTCAACTTATAGGCACAGGCAGGAACTTCCTGAAAAGAGTCCCAGGGTCACAACAAATTGGAGAGAGACTGGACAAATGGGACTACCTTAAAATAAATAGTTTCTGCACAGACAAAGAAATAGCAGCCAAACTAGAAAGATAGCGAACTAATTGGGGAAAAAATACTTACCAGCAAAATATGAGACAAGGGTTTAATATCCATTATATACAGTGAACTCAAGAAATTAACCCCTCACAAATCTAACAAACCAATCATGAAATGGGCAAGGGAACTAAAAAGAGACTTCTCAGAAGAAGAGATAAAAATGGCAAAGAAACACATGAGGAAATGTTCATCATCCCTGGTTGTAAAGGAAATGCAAATAAAAACAACTCTGAGATAGCACCTTACCCCAGTCAGAATGGCTCACATCCTAAAGTCAGCCAACAACAAATGCTAGGGAGTGCAGAGAAAGAGGAACCCTACTGCATTGCTGGTGGGAATGTATAGTAATACAACCACTTTGGAAAACACTCTGGAGATACCTCAGGAAGCTAAATATAGACTTCCCCTGTGACCCAACCATACCACTCCTAGAAATCTACCCTGAGCAACAGGAATCAGTATACGAAGACACATGCACCTCCATGTTTATTACAGCACTGTTCATAATAGCCAAGATTTGGAAACAACCCAGATTCCCCACTACTGATGAGTGGATCTAAAAATTGTGGTACCCATATACCATACAATATTATGCAGCCATTAGAAAGGACAAAATAATGGCATTTTCAGGGAAATGCCTGGAACTAGAGCAGAATATTTTAAGCAAACTAAGCCAAGAATAAAGAGACAAATGGCATAGCTCTCCCTGATATGTGGGTGCTAAAGCCAAAATACAAGAAGATATGGCAAACAGGACTCAAGAAACAAAAGATAGCCACCCATATTGTCTTATCATTGCTAAATAACCCCATGTTCTGGACCATATATATGGTAGATATATGCATGCAACAGACGGAAGCCAGGAGGAGGAACAGAATAAGTGGGAACAGCCCACATTAAGCAAAAGGAAAGAAATGTAAACATCACCTGATGTGGAAAAAATAACTTGTAATGTCAAAGCTCATAGAATTCACAAACTATGTAGACCATTATAATGACAATTTGCCTTGTGAAAATTAAAATGTGTTTGTGACTCTAAGTATCACTATTCCACAATAATGTGAAATATGTGAAATCTATGTAATCACCTAATCTCAATTAAAGGAAAAAAGTGAGAGAAGGGATGAATTAAGAGAGATGGGTGAACTTTTGGGCATTTACCCAAATGTTTACAAACAAGACCACACTAAAGCTACCAGCACAACTATGTTTATTGCAGCATTATTTACCATA